TCTACTGCTGTTTTCACCGCGCGATCAGAAAAGCTCCTGGATCAGGACAACAAGAGTCAGGGGAAAGGACCCTGGTAGATTTGTGGATCCTTGGAAGTAGGACGGCAGACAATTTCGCAGCTCAAAAACTAGGGATGCTGACAGAAATGAAGGGTAAAAGAAAGGAATTTGGGAAAGGTAAGAGGGAAGATAAGGGAAAAACCTCTCATAAGACAAGTGTGAAAGGAAAGAGGTGGCTAAACAGCAGTAGGGGAAGGCAGACCGAGGAAGCAACGCAGCACCAGAATTGTCTGGCAGAAGCTTGTCCACTGCCTGTGCCCTGCCTCACTTTGCTGTCAGCTCTTCATTTTTGCAAACACTGAAACTGCACTTAACTCTCATGCGCTGTTCAGATATAACAAGCTGGAAAGGGAACAGATCAGCTCATTAATTTTCCTTGGGAAGGGTCTCTAGGCAGGAATTATTTTCTGCACCAACATCCATTCAATTACTTGCCTTCACACCAGTCAGATCTACAGGGATGTCTAACCCCATGCGCATCACTCATGCCTGCCTGCCCTGGACTCTTCTCTCCCTCCTTCTCCGTATAAAAGCCTCCCAGACCTATTCCTTTCCTAATAATAATGACAACATGACAAAACCAATAACCTACAGATATAAAATACATTTCATTTGCTTGTTTCCTAAGACCCTGATAAGGCATCGTCGCTCACTTTTTGAGATCCTGTAGGAGATCTACAGGAGCTAATGAAAGAATTAGACAAGGCATCACTCATAATAAAAAGTGGTTTTAAAGCATTCTCTGCCAAGAAGGAATTAGGCTGGAAGATCCGCAGCCATTTCGAAGTTGTAAGAGGTGCAGTATCCATGTGTGGCATGAGCTGCAGGTCTCAATTTCTTGGTGTACGTGTGTGTTTTGTGCTTACGCAGTTAAAAGGCAGAGAAAGGCCATTTTTCTCAAAGGGTGAAGACTTTTGAATGGCCTGGGGACACATTTGGGCAATCTCGAAGTCTGAGAAAGAATTATCTCAAGGAAGATTAAGAAAAAAGTCAGAAGTGTGATTTGCAGTAATATGAACAGACACCACCTTTCTGCGTCAGTCCCACCATGGAACAGGGGCTCACTGTAGGGCACAAGAAAGGGGGGAAGGAAATCCCAATAGAGGAGGAACATCCCAAGTGGCACTCCTCTTTGGAGCCATACAAAGATCTGAAAATGCTGGCCGAAAGTCCACTGTGGGGAACAGAATGACCGCAGAGAGGGGAACCTGAAAATTGACCAAATTCTCCAAAAGGAGCTTGAAATTCTGCCCGCAGAGTATCTGTGTGTACAGCCCGAGACTGAGTCCCCCCGTCCATTTTTGCTACTGGATATCTTGGCTAAGAGAAGACAAGACAATTTAGTACAATATTTTGTACATGAGGAGTCCACCGGCTCTGACAGCCTACGGTGTTGACTAATGCCAGCGTTCCCTCACATCCTCAGAAATGAAGGCAACCTTGTCACAAGCTTCCTTCCTAGCAGGTAGCAGGAGGCAGTTTGGGCTCCTTTGATCATTTTGCTGTTACAAAGCCTCCTGACCTTCTCTTTGCTACCTCCCCTCACCCTATAGACCTGCCCTGACACCCACCCCAGGCCGCAGAAGTCTGTCTGTCCCACACCCTTTTTCAGGTGCCTTTGCCACACCATGGGCAGGGTGTGAGCAGCGTCCAAGGGTTTTTCCCTTTTTACAGACTCCTGGGACCAAGCCCTTCCCTCCACAAATCTGACCATCGTTTCATCATGGGGGAAAGGAACCTTTGCTGCACCCTTCGCCCTCCTGCTCACCAGCAGGCAGCTGTCACCAGGAAGAGTGAGTCAACCAGGGACACTTTTCTGATTCCTTCTGCTGAGAAAGACAATAACCCCCTGTAAGGTGATCAGAGGTGACAGTAAGAGGCCTGCTGTCCAGGGGATGGTGGGGATATTTGGCTGTGCTGTCCTGGGAGCAGGAGAGGGCCAGCCACCAACCCGTGAAGGCTGTGGGGCTGTGGGAAGCCAAGCAGAAGCATCCAGGCAGTAGCAGTGCCAGACCTGTGCCATGATGCCCCATGAGACAAACCCATGCCCAGGCCCTCCTCAGCATGTGGCCATAGGTTTGCTTTTACATCCTGCTGAGATGCTCGTGCTACTGAGCTTTTATCCAAGTTCTGGTGCAACCTGTGCCCTCAGGCTACGGAGTCAGAGCTGGGCTCAGCTCCTGTGTGGTGCATTGCACCCTCCTACTCTGCTCACCACTTCTGCCCAGTGTCCAGGGGCTGGGGGAATGGGTCAGCCCAACCCTCACATGGCTGGGGCGAGTGAGAGCACCCTGCCAGGGCCGTGCAGCTTGTGCCCAGGGTGCATTTCACACCCCTCGTGCAGGGCTGCAGTTAGAGCCCACTGGAGAGCATCAACAGGGAGGGTAGGGGGACCAGGCTGGCGGCACAGCTTTGGGGAGGGACTGGGGCACTTAGGAGCTTTTAATTGGAAGCATCCTGGTGCTTTCCTTTGCCATGCAAGCCACTTCTTCACAGTGCCTGTGGGGTCCTGTCAGATGTAAAGGAGAAGGAGCCCCGAGCTCCTCATATCTGACAAACCTCACCCGCCCCTTCCTCCTCCCCCTCAGACCGCGTCCCTCTGGGTACGGCTCTGTGGGCAGATAGACATGATCTGAATTCACTGCCTCTCCCGGCCGGGGTCCTCATACCTCCTGTCTCCACCCCAGCCTCCCTCCGCCCTCCAGCTTGGGGTCACGGCTCAGGAAGGGAGTTCTTCCCCGCAGCCTCCCTTCCCCGCATGGCTTTGCATTTGGACTTCCTTTTTTTTTTTTTTTTTTTTTCCTTCCCTCCCTCATTAATTTTTAATTAAGGAGATGTCTCCTTCCCCAGTTGTAATGAATAGCTGTGTGAAAGGGTTTTCATTTTTTATTAATATATACCTCTATATATTTATCTATTTGGAGGAAATGGGTGCGTGTGTGTGAGCGAGTGTGTTTAAAACATCCCCCATTAATTTACTGCTATTGATTTTCTGGCGTGGAGACAGCATATAGTATTCAGCATAGAGCTCCTCTGCAGGATATGTTAAAAGGCAGCAGTTTGGGTTGACAAAGGGCACTAAATGCAGTATGCGTCAAATAGACCATCGCTGTTTTTTGATTTTCTTTTTTTTTTTTTTTTTTTTCCTTCCCTCCCTCATTAATTTTTAATTAAGGAGATGTCTCCTTCCCCAGTTGTAATGAATAGCTGTGTGAAAGGGTTTTCATTTTTTATTAATATATACCTCTATATATTTATCTATTTGGAGGAAATGGGTGCGTGTGTGTGAGCGAGTGTGTTTAAAACATCCCCCATTAATTTACTGCTATTGATTTTCTGGCGTGGAGACAGCATATAGTATTCAGCATAGAGCTCCTCTGCAGGATATGTTAAAAGGCAGCAGTTTGGGTTGACAAAGGGCACTAAATGCAGTATGCGTCAAATAGACCATCGCTCAATGAAGTCACTTAGCTATTCAAAACATGTCCAGCCATCACTCAACCGTTTGCACCAAGAACGGGGGGGAAATTCGTGCTTCTTCCCGGACACGACCATTTCCAAACAGCAGCTTTAGCTTGCTTTGGTGAGAGACATCAGGACATATACACGGTTTATTCCCCCCTCCCCCCTGCCTTCCATCTCCCGGTGCCGGTCTTAGAAAATCAGTTCTGCGGTACCCACTCCCCGCTCTCTCCCATCGGGGAGCTCCAGGCACACCCAGCTCTGGTGAACACCAACAGACAGATATGTCTGGATGCCCTGGATGTCCATAAACCCCCGGCAGCCCACCCTCCGGCTGGGATCTGATTCATAAACAGTTTTTTTACAATGGGTTGTAATGTGCACTCTTGTGCTCTCGCGCTCTCCTTCTCGCTACGTGTGTAACAGAAACCACGCATTTCCATCGGTCGCCCCTGTCTCTCCAGCACAGCCTGAAGACCACCTCCCCAGCCCACACATACGCCAATAGCAGTCCTGAGCAACACATATTTAAAAGCGCATCACTGGCCCCTCTTTTCTTTCCCCCTCCCTTAGGAACGTCTGATTCCAGAAGTTGGCTGCGGCGGTGTCTCTTCTGCCATCAGACATGTCACTGAGTTGCTGTTCAGTTTCACCACATCAGACTTAGGCTGATTTTTCCATTCACAGACCTGTTTATTTTTAGCCGTTACCATAAGCCTTAAAAAAAAAAAAAAAAAAAAGCCCCAAACAAAAAACCCACCTCCCAACAACAAGCAAACGGGGGAAAGATCTCAGCCCCAAACCAAACCAATCAGCCGCCAACTAAACCCCTCTGCACCCAGCCCAGTGAGATGTGGTTGCTTACAGACATTACGAAATGCTCTGAACTCTGCTCGAGATGACTGGAATTGTTAGATTCACTGTACGAGGCATTTTGGACATAAAAGGGTTGCTTCCCTTTCTCTCCCTTTCCCTCCTAAAGTGAACTAATAATTGCATTTGAAGTGCTTTGCAGTCACCCCCTCCCCACATCACCCCTCACTCCCAGTCTTGTCTTTGCAAATAAGCCATTTGCAAAGAGAGCAATTATTTCACTCTGTGGTTACAGTCAGAGCACAGCAGTAATAAAGCATTTTGGCATTGCTTTCCCAGGCAATACAAACAAGCTGAAGACAGACAAGACCGCACAGTTGCTTTTTGCCAGGGTCTCTCAGTGTTTTTGTAACACACACATTATTCCAGTTGGAGGGGGAAGTGAATTTTCTTTTGGGGGAGGGGAAGAGGGGGAAAGAGGAAGGGAGAAGGGAACGGAGCGGAGAATGTTTTGCCTGTCTTCTTGCCTCTGTGCCCTGAGTAACTGAGCCCACCGCTCTCAATCCATGGTGAAAGGAATGAAGTGAGAAAATGGTGGAATGTGGAGGGATTTATTTGGGGGGGGGGGGGGAAAAAGGGGGGGGGGGGGTTCCAGAATCAAATACCTTCCAGGCAGCAGGTTCTCCATAATCCAGAATGGGTCATGACTTCCTCGTTCTTTTTGCTGGTTTCGTTCTCACTGACAGTTTTAGTCTTGCAAACCCCTCTGGAGTAAAGCCAGTAGTCGGTCCCCACAGCTATGGTCATCAGGCTGAAGGCAGCGAAAGCACCAACGGTGGTTAAAAGCATCTGAACACCTCTGTCAAAGAGCCCCATAATTCTTCATTATACAAATACCCAACCGCCTTCTGATTCTTGGGGTGTGTGTGTTTAATAAAATAAAAGAATAATAATTCCGACTAATAATATAATAGGTATATATAGAGAGATAGATATCAAAAAAGGGAGGTAAGAAAGCCCACGGAAAAGAGTGTAAATTAGAAAGACCACACGGGAAGAGGCTTGCCTTTTAAATCGGAAACGTTCTGGTCGAAATATAAAAAAAGGAAAAAGGAAAAAGAAAAAAAAAAGAGAGAAAAGAACCAAGAAAAACCAAATAAATAAAGAGAGAACCCCCCCCAAAACGAGACGCCTTAATCCCTTTTTCTAAAATTCTGGTCTCCAGTTTCCATATGTAATGGCTAATTTGGAGATGGCTTCCACAGTGAACAGGGGAGCAGCAGCAGCATCCTCAACACAATCTCTCATTATCTGGACCTAGACAGTTAGAGACTGTAAGAGCAGAGATGCAACCTTCAGTCTTCTTGCTTAGCTCTGCAGCCTGCGCCATGAAAATCCTTTTCCTTCCCAGTTATCTTCCTTGGGTTTTTATTTTTTTTTTTTTCCCGGCAGCGGCAGTCGCTCCAATCCTCTCTCACTTTTTTCTTCCTTGCTTCTCCTTCCTTTCGCTTGCTCTTACCACCAAGCCAGACTGCCCAGTATACTGTAAGCCCTTGATTTCAGCTGAACAGGTGCCGAGGTCTTGCCTCCCATGGCTTTTCCGCACAGCCGCGGCGCTCGCTCCCGGCGGAGGTGGGCGAGGAGAGAGGGGGGCTCCCGGGGAGGAGGAGGAGGAGGAGGAGGAGGGAGGGGGGAAAAGAGGGCCACGCCGAGCCCCTGCGCTGCCTGTGTTGTTTGTGCCCTCCCTTCTCCATCCTACATGTTTAATGTCTGCGGCAGCACCGAGGCCTCGTCTGTTTGGG